ATGACATCATTGGAAACATTCTAGAAATTCTTTTAAAATTTTACAATTAATTTTTACTAAAATAACTAACTATAGTTACTTATTTTATTTTCTAAAATCTTCACATTGAAAAAAACTTTATGTTTTTGTGTAGCTATCAGAGCCGTGGCTAAATGGGCCACGACGATGGTGGACCTAGGGACCCCTATGGCACCAAATTGGGTTATATAATATCTCCGGTGATTCACAAGTGTGTTCTTTACATTTTGATGCAAGTTGTTTCGACAAATCTAACGAACAATTAATTAAACCAAGCACTTGGAAAAGATATAAAAATTAAGAATATACTAACAAAATATATAATTTATAATCAACTTTCAAAATTTTGACAATTTAAAAAATATATATTATAAAACATTTATTTTTGTAAACAAGTGATAATAGTTTAAAAGTTTTACGGCCTTACAGATATGGCTCCGAGAATGAGCCATAAAATTAAAGTAATAGTTCATTTGATAATATATTCTTAAAAAAATTTATGTTAGATATCTCAAAACTCAACAAATCGTAAATAATACAATTCCTAAAACATTTCAACAGAATATTCTAGAACTTTATTTCGCTTAGTCAGCATATTTCCTGAACCAATAGAATTAGTTTGTTCGTAAATTTGGCGGGTTTTTAGTGTTTGCAAATATTCTTTTTATTCTTCCGCAAGATGTTTTAAGAAATTCAAGCTAATTATGTTTCCATGTATGTCCATAAAATAAAAATTAATTTATATTAATTTTTTAATTTTAAAGCCCCCGCTATAATATATATCGGATGTTATAATAATGGAAATATAAATAATGAAATAAGATCACCTCAATACCAAAAAATAAATTTTTGAAAATCAGAGAAAAAATGCGTTTATAAATTTTTTTTTAATATCTACAAAGTAAATTAATAAAAGTGCATTATTATTTAGGTTAAAAATTATTTTATCTAATACTTTGAAAAAAAAACTTATAACAAAAGAAATCAAAATACATGTCATCAAATCGATTATTTAAAAAAAGTTGCGCAAATAAAATACTATTTCGTTTTTAATTTTTTTACAAACACATTTTAGAACTTTAAAGTATAATAAAAATGAATATGATTTGGAAATTGCATGTAAAAAATAATAATCGATGTTTTAAACAAACAAACAAAAAAATCTATGACATCATGTACTAAAACTTCTATGAATTAAACGCACTTGAAGTAATTATCAAGTCTGTATAATGCGCCTGGAAAATGGTGTTTAATTTACAGACTCCAAATACTGCAGAAAATGGAGAAGACAAGCTTCGACTAAAACAACAAGATTTGTTTTTCTTGGTATACATTTATTAATTAGTTTTAATCAAAAAAAAATTGCTCAGAGGTTTTTTTTTAACATTCTCTTTAATATGAACACAACATGTCTCTGGACTTGGTAGTCCCTTTAAAAATATGTACATCGATTTTCTAATTTATCACAATTAACCAGGTAATCAATAGAAAAGTTAAAATTCTGACTAAAAATCAAAAAAAGAAAGAGGAGAGAAAGAAAAAAAAAAAAAAAAAAAAAAAAAGAAAGAGAAGAGAAAGAAACTTTGTTATTTACAATATTTTTCTACAAAATTTAAAATCTGTCAATAAATTTAAATGTTAGTTTTAGATAGTAAAGTTGAAATTTTACTACATTAGTGCCATCACGCTTGGGCAGGGGGAAGCGTTTTATGTCTTTTTTGTTTCCAGGCCTCATCATCCCACTTTTTTGCGAGGCCTCCTAAATAGTTATATTTAAGTTTTAGAGTTTGCATAATGTTCACACATTTGGCATAAGCATACTTATGTTCGAAGCTTGTGCAAGCTCCAAACTTAAGTGCCAAATGTGTGAAAGTGTTTTATCTAGAATATCAAAGAATCCTGCGGGCGCTCATGCACACATGCCACCCCTTATATACTGGCCCTGAGTAAGACGTATTTCAAGCAATCTATTTTTTGAGTCAACAAAAAACAGGTTTTAGTGGTGCCTAGCTAATGGGTCAGAGGCCCCTCAAAAAATGTGTCATTTGGGTATCAAAATCTCTTAAATTTTACTGCTACATTTTGCTAAAATAAAAAGCTCCTTAAATTAGCAAAAGGACACAAAAATTTTTGCCTTTTTCCCCCTTTCCCCTAAATTAAGGGGTTCGGGTAGCCTATCCTTAGCACTGGGTTTCGGCTTTGTTTTCGATATTACTGATCTCAGATGTATCTTAATTTAACTATATCAAAATTAAAATTTGCATATATATATGAAGAGGTTTCTATAATACTGATTCTGTGCCCAAGCAAAGAGCTTTTGGGTCAAATAAAATATCTAAGGTACCTTCTCCACCTTTTTTTTTTCCATAAATTTTTTCATTGAAAAAATGTTTAGGGGGAGGGGGTATTTCAAAAATGTACGTACTTTTTAAGAGGGGGAAGGACTAAGAAGTACGCATAGCAACAGGGAGGAGGGAGAGGGTCAGATTTCAAAATTTTTGGCGTACCTATTTTATGGACGACCCCTTAACACATAAAAATAATTGTATTTATAATTAACTTATTATTACTACTATATTTAACAATAAAAAAAGGGTATAATGTAATAAATGTGTAAATGCTTAGTTAATTGCTTGACCAAATACTTAAAAAAGTCTTGAACATTTTGTAAAAAAACATACCTACTCTGATCTCGACCCCCTTCCTGATCTTAATTTTGAAACCCATGTCATCAGCCCTGATATGATGAGGTCTTATCTCAGCAACTTTTCTTGGCACTATTATAAAATGAAACCAAGATGTTGCCGCCTGTAGTACCATGTTTAACTTACATGATTGTTAGTTGAGATCAAAAAAAAATTCAAGAATAATAAAAATTTAAAAGTGCTTCATGTTAAATGATAATTTCCATGTAAGAGAGCAAATGATCATACTTTTTTTTTTTTTTTAATCATGTATAGTTGCAAAGCCGCAATTAAAAGTTTAAAAAATAATAATTTAAAAATTTAACATATTATAAGTAATTGATGCAAATATGCGGTAGTGGTGTGGCACTCGCTTTATAAGTGAGAGGTTCCGAGTTTGATCCTCACCACATCTCTGGTAGTACCACACTTAACTTGTTTTTCTGCACAGCAACCTTGCTTGTCAAGGATCGTGTTTCCAAGTTATAGAGTTGAGAGAGGGTTATAACCACAATTAGGTAGCCTCTTCGCCTATAGTGGCCTTCTTAGCCTTGAAAAGGTGAACACAAAAAAAAAAAAAAAAAAAGTAGAGAAAAGAAAGAAATTTGTTAATATCAAACTTTTTTGATATCAAACGTTTTTAAAAATGTAATATTAAATTTAATTATTCATTATTAAAAAAAAAAATAAAAAAAAATAAGCATTCACTTATAGTAATAATAAAAAGAAGTTAAATAATATATAACTTGTTTTGCGGTAATTATTATTATTGCTGTAATTTTAAAAAGTTAATGTCTTTAAAAAATAAAGAGAATTTTATGACATCAAATTCACATGAGACTATTGCATTAAGCATTTTTTATTTAAAACAAGACCAGTCACCCATAAAATACATCACACTAAATATAACTTATAAATAGAAATATGATCATTTGCTCTCTTACCTGGAGATTATCATTTAATATAAAGCACTTTTGAATCTTAATTATTCTTGAATTTTAATTTTTTTTTGATCTCTGCGTGAAAGTCAATAATATCCAATTTCTATTTAAAAGTTAAATTTAATGTGATTTACTTAATGGATCACAGTAAATTTATCTATGAACTAGATCAAAACAACCATTTAAGTTATTACAGTTTGATTACTCAACTATTAAATATACTTAATATGCTCAAAGATATTTACTTGCAAAAGTAAGCCATAGAAATTTTCTATTTATATATTATATGTTGTTAACACATTATAAGCTTTTAACTAAAAATTATTTCAACAAAGTATTTCTAATAGAATGTAAAAAACACAAACCATTTTTTTTTTTTTAGATTTTTATTTTATTTATAGCATACTAAGATTAATCATTTCATATCAATACATGAGTTGTCTTTAGGAATTCATTTTATAATAAGAACTTAAGTAGTCAAAATCAAGGATGAAGAATCTAAAGTATTGAAGTGTGATATTTCTTGCTCCGCAGAGTAGTGTACTAGGACCTCTTTTATTTATAATTTACATAAACAATTTTGCATCAAAAAAATTTCAATTTGTTTGCTGATAACACATTGTTGTTTATTGGTTGTACTAACTTCAAAGAAGCTATTTATCATTTGATCAAAGACTAAATAAAACTACTCAATTGGGTCACTATATTTTAAGATAAATATTACTTTGTCTACATGTTTTCAATTTATATTTTTATATGTAGAGATAATATTTAAACAATAATAACTGTTATTGTTATTATCATTATTGTTATTATTATTATTATTATTATTATTATTATTATTATTATTATTATTATTATTATTATTATTATTATTATTATTATTATTATTATTATTATTATTACTATTATTATTGTTATTATTACTATTAACAATTATTATTATTTCAATATTTTTTCATTGTTATTATAACATAATTGTTATCATTATTATAATAACTGTTTCTAATGATAACTAAAAAAAAACTTGAAACTAAAAAAAAATGCTAATAATAAAATAATTATATACTTATATAATTATATTATATATTTATCCTGTACAACGATAAAATATTATTATATAGTTATTTATATTATTATATATAATATTATGATATATTAATTGTTATTATTAATAACAATTAATATATTATAATTGTATGCGTATAACTACTTAACACATAAAAATAATTATACTTATTATTACTTATAACTAACTTATTATTACTTAACAATAAAAAAAATAATACGTATAAGCTTAGTTAATCGTTTGACCAAATACACAAACAAATCTTAAACATTTTGTAAATAAACGTACCTATTCTGCCCTCTACCCCCTTTCCTCATCTTTACTCCATTAATTTTCGAATTATTAACGACCATTTAAAATTATTAACATTAAGTTATCAATTGCACATATTAAAAAAAAACTGGCCTAACAACATAAGCGTTTATAGGGTGGCTAAGACTATGATTACTATATTTTCAGCCATTTTGACTTAAAAATAGTTAGGTTCGCGAACAAAATTTAGCGCAAGATGAAATTTAAACCCTGGGTTATTCAATGTTGGAAGAATTTGATAACAATCATGTAAGTTGAGCATGACGCTACAGGCGGCAACGTCTCGGTTTCATTTTAAAATAGTACCGAGAAAAGTTGCTGAGATAAGACCTCACCATATCAGGGTCAACCACACGAGTTTTTAAGTGGAGGAACACACTGCGTATAAAATATATTATATCTTTTACGTATAATAAGTAATAATAGCTCTTAGCTAAGTATAACAGCTCTGATAAAAGCATTTTGAATTTCTTTTTGATCTTAACCTGTAAGTCTGTTTTATATAATTAATTGATATTGGATTTCCAATAGTAATTTAGGGGTTTACTCCAGAGCTTTAAATACTTAACGTATCCCTATAGGTATGCGTTTATGCGGCATCTAGTTAATGAACTAGAGCAACAACAAAATTAAAATACTGTCAACCTGGGTCTCAAAAAACAAAATTGTAAAATAACCATTTAAAAAACTATATCTTGAAAAAAATCATTTTAAAAAGCTATGAAAAAAAAGCATTTTTTGTTCTTTGATAGTTATAAAACATAATTATTTGGAAATAAGTCAGGTCAGGTTTATCCTGCTACTGGTAACATGTAACCCAGTACAATCTGCTTCATGTCCTGCTGCCTTGTAGGATATGCCTTTTTAGGCAAAGGCTAGGAGATGCAAACTCCAACATAAAACACCCCCTGCCTTAAGGCTCTTGGTTGAGTAAAGGCTAGAGATGGTGTCTCGATAAAAATACTCATCTTGGGCAGATGTTACATGCATCCGGCTGCTGTCTTGTAGAAGGCCTCCTAGGCAAAGACTTAAGGGGTAAACAGATTCTATCTGTTGACCAGCCTCGCACCCCTTCGTCATCTATTAGGCTGGCGCAGATGTATTTTTAATACATTGTTTCCAGTTTAGGATGTTGAACGCTGGATCTTCTTGACTCAATTCATGGGTTTTGCTTGTGTCTCTGTTTTTATGACTAGGCAACTCATTCTATTATCTCCAAATGAGGGTACAGCTCTAAAACTCAGTTTAATGGTTCTGAGGCCGGCTGGTAGTAAGGTTTCACGAACTCTGTGGTAGCTCTCAGAGAGGCTGATTTCATCAACAGCTGAAAAATATCAGAGTACTAACAGTGCCATGTTGCGCATGGATGGTGGCCCTGTTTGTACTTTTGGTGTGCATTGCTAAGGCCACATTGGAGCCCTTTGTTACGGCTTAGGGTTTATTAGTGGAAATGAGGCAATTGCTTGAGCTATAGAACAGTGTACTGAGTACTATCAATGTTTCGAGTCAAGTTCTTTAACAAATTTAAAAATGAATAAAGTAACAAAAACTATAAAACACAAAAAACCACAGTCATCACCAAGTTCGCTAAACCTATCATTCACCAATATTCGTGGTCTTCGAAGTAACTTTTCTTCTGTTGAGTCTTATCTCTTGCAAAGTTCACCAGACCTGCTTGCTCTTTGTGAGACTAATTTGAGTTCAGCTGTCTCATCTTGTGCGCTTAGTGTTAATGGTTATCTTCCTCTAATTCGTAAAGACTCAAATAGTCACATGCTAGGCCTGGGCATTTACATTCGTAAGAATTCACCCATTTGTCGGGAAACTAGGTTTGAATCCACAGACTACTCTTTTATGTGCTTTCGTTTAGCACCACTTAACTCTATCACCTTTCTCTTTGTTCTATATCGCTCTCCCTCATCCCAAGACTGCACTCTTCTTGATATTATTTCTGATTATATTGACCAAGCCCTTATTCTTTATCCATCAGCCAATATTGTTGTTGTCGGTGACTTTAATGTTCATCACACTGAATGGCTTGGCTCTAGTGTCAGTGACTCTGCAGGCATTAAAGCCCACAACTTTTGTCTTTCTCAATCCCTAACTCAAATAGTCAACTTTCCAACTCGCTTTCCGGACAACCCGAATCATTTACCTTCTCTACTCGACTTATGTCTTGTTTCTGATCCTAGTCAGTGTTCAGTTTCTTCACACTCACCCTTAGGTGCGTCTGATCATGGTTTGGTCTCTCTAAAACTATTATCTCATTTTTCTTTACCATTAGAATCCCCCTATGATCGTACATCTTACAACTACCTTAAAGCTGACTGGGACTCTTTTCGTGACTTTCTTCGTGATGGCCCCTGGGTAGAAATCTTTCGTCTCCCTGTGGACAAATGTGCTTCTTACATAACTTCGTGGATTCAGGCTGGCATGGAATCCTTTATTCCCTCTCGACGATTCCAGGTCAAGCGTCCCTCTTCTCCATGGTTTTCCTCACATTGTGCTGCTGCAATTGCCAATCGTAACCATTACTTCCATATCTATCAGCAAAACAATTCTCCAGAAAACAGACGTCTCTTTATTACTGCTAGGAACCATTGTAAAAAGGTTTTGTCTAACGCCAAAGCCCGCTATTCTCAGATCATGAAATCTCTTACTTCATCACAAAAATTAGGCTCTCGTGACTTCTGGAGAATCTTTATTAGTATCAATAATAAGGGCAAGTCTGTAATTCCACCTCTTTTGTACGGTTCAGACTTTGTCACCTCACTTAAAGACAAAGCTGAATTGTTTGCCAAGAACTTTTCATCAATATCATCTCTTGATGCCACTAGTTGCGTTTTACTTGATATACCCGTCAAACAGGTTGATCCATTGCTCGACATTCGTATCACTCCAGCTTCTGTATCTGAAGTGATTTCCCGCTTAGACTCTTCTACAGCTTGCGGCCCGGACAACATACCTGTTATAGTCTTGCAGAAGTGTTCTCCTGAGCTGTCGTCTATCTTTTCAAAACTATTCAACAAGTGCTTATCAGAGACTTGTTTTCCAGCCTGCTGGAAAGCAGCACCTGTTATCCCTCTTTTTAAAAATTCTGGAGAGCGATCTGACTCATCTAACTACCGTCCCATTAGTCTTCTTCCTATCATAAGCAAGGTTTTTGAATCTTTAATTAACAAACACTCAATCTCTCATCTCGAATCTCATAACCTACTTTCTGATCATCAGTATGGATTTCGATCTTCTCGTTCTACGGCTGATTTGCTATCAGTAATAACCGATAGGTTTTATCGCGCATTAGATAAAGGTGGAGAAGTTAAGGCCATTGCTCTTGACATTTCTAAAGGGTTTGATAAAGTTTGGCATGCTGGTCTCCTCCATAAGCTTTCTTCTTATGGTGTATTTGGAAACATTTTTAAGATTATTGAATCCTTCCTTTCCAATCGTAGTATAAAAGTTGTCCTTGATGGACAGCACTCTTCTTCTTATTCTGTAACCTCAGGGGTTCCCCAAGGTTCAATCCTTGGCCCTATACTCTTTTTAATTTACATTAACGATCTTCCAGATATTCTCACATCTAAGGTGGCATTGTTCGCTGATGATACTACCATTTATTCTTGTCACGATAAGAAGCCAACTCCCTCTGATTGCTTGCAGGGGGTATTTGAGCTCGAAATGAATCTCACTTCTGCTACAGCATGGGGCTCGCAGTGGCTGGTGAACTTTAATTCAGATAAAACTCAATTTTTTTCGGCCAATCGTTATCGCAATAATTTAGACCTTCCTATATTTATGAACGGTAATGTACTCGATGAGTCTCCTACCCTTCATCTTCTTGGATTAACTCTTACTTCTGATCTTTCTTGGAAACCTTATATCAAATCCGTTGCAAAATTAGCATCTGCTAAAGTTGCTTCTCTTTATCGAGCTCGTCACTTTCTTACTGTGGATTCTATTCTCTATCTCTATAAATCTCAAATCCGGCCTTGTATGGAATACTGTTGCCATATCTGGGGCGGATCTTCTAATGATGCCCTTTCTCTTTTAGACAAGGTGCAAAAACGCATTGTAAACATAGTTGGACCTGCTTATGCAGCCAACCTTCAATTTCTGTCACATCGTCGTAATGTTGCTTCTCTTTCTCTTTTCTACAAATACTATAATGGGCACTGCTCTAAAGAGCTAGCGTCTCTTGTGCCATCTACTAAAATTCATTCTCGTGTTACTCGTCATTCAATTAAGTCTCATCCTTTTTCTGTTACTGTTCCTAAGTGCTCCAAAAACTCTTATTCGTCTAGTTTTTTCCCTCGAACATCAGTTCTTTGGAATTCGCTTCCTTCATCTTGCTTTCCTGATTCATATAATTTGCAATATTTTAAGTCGTCTGTCAATCGTTATCTCGCTCTACAATCTTCATCTTTCTCTTCCCGTAACTTCCAACACTAATTAGTGGTTGCTTGCAACCTTGTTGGAAGCGAAGATAATAAAAAAAAAAAAAAAAAAAATTATTTAAAAACTATAATTATTTCAAAACTTTTTCTTTAAAAAAAAATACTTTTCCAACATTACCAAGTAAAGACATAGTTAAAAGGAACGATTTGTTCCAGATGAACGATTTGTTCCAGATTTCCAAGGTTTTACCTTGGTGACCAAACACAAACACATATCAGCTCGATAACTCTTTTCTCAATTCTGACTAATTATAATGGGATATATTCGAGGAGCCACGCAACCGTAGATACTGCAGCCGTGGCACAGTGGTTAGAAATAATAAGTCCGAGGTCCAATGCAAACTCTGGCCAAAAAACTTCGGAAAAGAAGGTTAAAACTTCTTAGTTAAATGCTCTTGTGCGATGCTCAGTGATTCTTAAGATTTTATGGATCACCTAAACAACCACAAAAAAAAAATTAAAACTGGAAAACTTTGAGTTATTTGAATGAAGTCACAAGAAAATGTAGAAATATAAAAATGAAATTTAGATGAAGCATTATACGATTTGTAGTATCTAAAAACATCTCAAACGTCAGCTATTTATTCCAATGCAAATTTAATGTTAATCTACTGTTATTTGTTTAGCAATGATATCAATAAAAAGAACTAATTCAACTAAAAACAGCTTGCGCACTTACATTATCCTAACGTTTGTAAAAACATTGTAAAATTTTTTTTTTTTTTTGTTTGCCATATAAAT